AGAAATAAATTTAACAAAAGAAGAGCAAAGCTTATAGTCAGAAAACAACAAAACATTGTTACAGGTCTATTCTGATTATCTGTTTCTTTATGAGTCAGTTTCTATAGTTGCGTCTTTCTAGAAATTTGTCCATTTCATCAAAGTTATCTAATTTATTGGCATACAGTTGTTCATAATATTCCCTTATAGTTTTTTAATTTTTTAATGTCAGTAGTAACCTCCTGTTTTTCATTTCTGATGCTAGTAGTTTGAATCTTCTTTTTTCTTGGTCAATTTATCTAAATGTCTTCAAAGAATCATCTTTTGATTTCATCGATCTTCTCTATTGTTTTTATTCTTTATTTTATTAGTTTCTTTCCTCATCTATGTTATCTGCTTTCTCCTGCTGGCTTTTGGTTTTGTTTGCTCTTTTGTTCCAGTGTGTTAAGGGGGAAAGTTTGTTTATTGATTTGAGATCTTTGTTCCTTTTAAATGTAGACACTTATAGCCACATTTTGTCTCTATGCACTGCTTTTGCTCTATTGATAAATTTTGTTATGTTGTCTCTTCATTTTTGTTTATCTCAAAGTAATTCCTAATTGCCCTTTTGATTTTTTGTAGGACCCATGGGTTATTTAGGAGGGTGTTTTTTAATTTCCACATATTAGTGAGTTTCCCAATTGTCTTTGTTATTGATTTCTAATTTTATTCCCTTATGGCTGAAAGATGTGCACTGTATTATTTCTATCCTGACTGCAAATTCTTTTTTAAAATATATTTTGGTTAATATTTGTATTATTATACAATGCACATTTCTTATAAAAAAATGTCAGAATTGTTTTAAAAGACAAAGAAGAAATAAGACTCTCCTATAATTAAACTCTCATATAATTGTTGACATTTTAGTGTCTAGTGTTCTACTGTGTCAATGCATGTGCATCTGACTATTTCTTGAACAGTACATTTAATTAAAGTTCAGACTCTGGTCTGGTTTATTCAAAGACAATCTAGTTTAAAAGATAAAAGGCAAAGCTGTTGAGGGTTGTAATTCTGTTCCTTTAGTCACCCAAAAGATGAGGAAGGGGCCACTGATCCCACTGCTATAGTGATGGCCCCTGTGCGTGGACTTGCCCTTGCTCAGCCATGGGCTTGTAAGTCTGAGCAAAGGTCATAGAGGTACTGGCTCCTGGCTGAGAAGCCTGGTGTCTTTTACTCTTCTGACTGGTAGGGAAAATTATAATTGCTCCAAGTACAGTTTGTATTTTCATTGTATTTCATTGTGTTTCATTTGTATTTTCTTTTTTTCTTACAGCACTCTTTCCATTCCTTGGCCCAGTTTTTGAATCATTTAATATTACTCTGTTTCCAAAAAGTGTTACTGATTTTTTCAAAAAATCTGTAAAAAAGATGAAAGAAAGTCGCCTCCAAGATAACCAAAAGGTAAAATCTGGTGTGGTTGTGTGAGTGTGTTTCCTCTTTGATAATTTATTGAGCTGTGTACGTATGATTTGTGCACTTCTCTTTTCTTAGGTTAGTAGAGAACTGTAGGTTTACAGGAGGAAAGTTATAACATTTTGTGTGGAATGAACAAGGTGGAGGATAGGAAAGGAAATACCAAGTGAGTCAGAGAGACGTCTAAAATGTAGTAATAGGCACAAGGGTCAGTATATCACTGCATGGATGTTATTGAGAAAAAGTTTTCTATTTTCCTTCAATAAATTGTCAAAGTATTAAAATTACTGTGTAAAAATGATTTTCCTGGTATCACAATTCCCCAGATTTTAAATTTGCAAGAATCACATCAGTTCCAAGCCTCATATTTTACACATTCTGCAGTGGTGTCCCCCCGGAACCCGTGGCGCTGCTCCGCGTTAACTGCAGCTGCTCAGACACCGGGCAGGGCCGCGGCCTTCCCTGGCGTTGAGGCTGCAGGCTGCCTAACCCAGCGTTGCCTTCACGGACCTGGAGGCCGGCACGAGGATGCCTGCAGGCCGTGGGCTAGGGCTGGGTGCCCCAGGGTTGCACCGAACATGTGGGCAGTTCTAGGACGGTGGGCACTGAAGCTGCTCACAGAAAAACTGCCAATGAACTTCAGATATCAGGAGGTTAATCCATGTGGTCGTTCACTGAGAATTAAGGCGAGAGGGAAAGAAGGCTTCGATCCGGGACATTTCTGTGAGCAAGCAGATATGACAGGAGAGGGGGCAGGCAACTCTTTGGCCAGGAAGCTGTGTTCAAAAGTGAGAGAAGCTGAAGATCAGAGAGAGTGGGGACCAAAAAGCAGCTGGACATAAGGGCTAGATTTTTCTCAGGGAAACATCCTGCTCTCCAAACTTGCAGCTGGATGTTTTTATTCCCTGATGACTCAAGCAACACTAGACACACTTCTGGACTTAAAGGGGCCATTTTATTAGGAAAGAAATTTAGTGCTGCACCCTTGATTTATTCCTTTCTAACCCTGAAATTTCTCCTTCTGCTTCCAGCACCGAGTGGACTTTCTTCAGCTGATGATTAACTCCCAGAATGCCAAAGAAGCAGACTCCCATAAAGGTACACTAGGCACGCTTCAGAGGGCCAGTGGGGGGCTCAGAGGCAGCGGTGGTTCTGAAAATGTGCAGGACGTTTTCCAGGCAGATAAGAGTTTCTGCCAAATTGAAGACATATGCTCAGATATGAGTGGTAGCCAGAGGCACTTTCTAGAAGCATGTGCCACAGCTATGTTCAAGCTTGAAGGGTACCATATACAAGAATTTTATGCCCAGAGGTCAGTCAGTGGTCTGCGGATCACCCACATCAGAATCTCTGGGGAGCTTGTTTCCAGTGTCTCTTCTCTGGCCTCATCCAGCTGCACGGAAATTTGCATCAAGACTTCATCACATCGGGAAGCATACTGCCCCAGTGTTGGTGACCTTAACTTGGAACACTTGGTTAAAATTGTGTTCAGTAGCTTACTCTACTGTAAAGCTTTATTTTTCATTTGTAATTAATAAGCAACTTTTGGGGAAGTCTTTAAGAATAAGTAAATATCCTATTTCCTCTTCAAATTTTCACCTACTAGTTTTATTATCCACGGATGGTTTTTGACTGATCATTATTACTGTGATGGTTGCAAAGTGATGACTTTCTAATTGCAACATTTCTTCTACATTTATGAATTGATGTTTCATTGTAAGGAAGATCTTTCCATTTTCCCTCATTTATTTATTTGTTTATTTATATCAACATGATCTTATATATTACAAATTTATGTCATTCTTTTTTTTTTATGGTCAAATTATCTCATGTTTGTCCACTGGAGTCCCTTTAAGTGAGCTCTGGGTTTCTTCTTTCTTTTTAATTTTTTATTTTTCCAATAGACTTTATTTTTTAGGGCAGTTTTAGGTTCACAGCAAAATTAAGCAGAAGGTACAGAGATTTCCAATATCCCACCTCCCCCTCCATATACACAGATTCCTTGATTATCAAAATCCCTCACCGGTATGGATCATTTGTTAAAATCAGTGAACCTGCAATAACACATGATTATCTCACAAAGTTCATAGTTTACATTAAGGTTCACTCTTGGTGGTGTACGTTCTAGGGATGTGACAAATGTATAATGACATATACCCACCATTATAGTATACAATGTATCCTGTATCATTTCTACCTATTTGGGGGGGGGCACTTCCTTGCTTTCTGGTATGAGAGAATTCTAGGTTTCTCATTATTTCCCTTGATCAGGACTTGAATCAGTCATTTCTCAAGGAGCTCTGGTTCATTTTATTGAGAAATGATATTTAGAAACCAATACCTGTGATCTGGGAGTGCTCATTCCTACTAGGGTTTTTTTTCTTCTAGATCTCCTTAGTGGACAAGCATTGATCTCTCTCTCTCTCTCTCTCTCAAATCATAAGCATGTCTTCAGGTGAGGGGAAAGAAAAGAGATGGTCTAGTTCCTTTTTTTTTTTTTGCACATATCTGTCCAATTTTCCAAACACCATTTATTGAATAGACTGTTTTTACTTCACTGTATGTTCTTGCCTCCTTTGTCATAGATTAATTGACCATATAGGTGTGGGCTTATTTCTGGGCTCCCTATTCTCTTCCATTGATCTATGTGTCTGTTTTTATGCCAGTACTATGTTGCTTTGATTACTGTAGTCTTGTAGTATAGTTTGCTATTAGCTAGTGTGGTACCTCCAACTTTGTTCTTTCCCAAGATTGCTGTAGCTATTTGAGGTCTTTTGTGGTTTCATATAAATTTTTGGATTTATCGTTCTAGTTCTGCAAATCATCACATCTCTTGACAGTTCATGTTGTGCTTCGGTAGTTGTAGAATGGGGTTTGAGAGTCTACATTTCTAATAACCTTCCAGTTACTGCAGACGATGCTGGTCCATGGACAATACTTACAGCAACCATATTTTACATGTAGCCCAATATCATTCTCTTAAGTTTCTGCAAACATTTTTGAATGAAAGATCCTTTAATTTCCCCCTGCATAAGCTTTAGTGCAATGTCTCTCAAACAATTTTCCAGATATATTTTATCTAGAATAATTTAAATTTTCCCTGGGGGAGAATCCTATCCCATATTACTTGTAGGATGCTCCAAGGGACATACTGATAACACTGTGCATGTAACACAAAAATGTTATGTCTTGAAATTATACAGCTGTGCTGTGGAAAGGGTGGCATAACCAGAAGCAGATGGTCAAGAATAGTATAGACCTTGGGAAAAACTAGATTAAGATAATTTTTTACTTTTTCTGGCTCTGTAGTATACACATCAGAGTGCAAAACACTCCCAATTTAAGCTGAATTTCTTTCCCAATTTTTCCTATAGGGATTTGGGAGTTTCATTTGGATTTCTCATCTAAACTGCGATGTTGTACATTGACCTGCTTTATAAAGTATATTTCTTCTCCTTTTAGCTCTGTCTGATCTGGAGCTCATCGCCCAATCCATTATCTTTATTTTTGCTGGCTATGAGGCCACTAGCACTGTCCTTTGCTTCGTTATGTATTTGCTGGCCACTCACCCCAATGTGCAGCAGAAACTGCAGAAGGAGATTGATGCAACGCTTCCCAATAAGGTGAGTGGGTGATACCTGGAGGAGAAGGAAGAACGTGAATCCTTAGCAAGAATGCCTCCTCACCACTTTCTAGAAGAATTTTTTCAAAGAGAATAAGCATCAGTTCCTTTACCTGTGCTATTCAGGAAGGATGTAAACAGACAAAAACAAACAAAGAAATATAGGTAATGTTTACTATTCACAGGTATATAAGATCTTTGAAAAAAGTGTTGGTCCTGTTGTGTCAGTTATCTGTTATCACAATAATGTCAAGTGAAAAAAAAATTTTTAAACCTCAGTGGCAATTAAGGTTATAAAGAGGTGGAACCCCTCTTTATAACCTTTGCTAGAATGAAAGCATGTGCCCTGGTAGCTAGCATCCAGTCACACCCTTCTTTTGCCATATTTGGTTTAGAAAGGAACTTGTTTCTCTCCACGTTATTTATAGAGTTTCTGTGTGTGTAGTGTTTCCCTCCAAATTATATAGATAATCTAAAGGGTTAGCAAGCAGGCTTTTTCAACTAAAACACTTTATGTCAAGTAGGGATTTTTCTCTTTTACACATTCTCTTTCCTTGGTACAGAAGTGTGGCCTCTCTTTTGACAGGAAACAGTGACGTTGACATATTTCAATTAAGAGTATGGGTCATAGTCTATTAGTCACATTTGTTCACATGAGATAAAAAAAATCACTACATAATAATGTGAGGGATTTGGGGTCCTGTTTACGGAATTGTCCCCAAGGTCTCCCCATAGTCATAACTACTCCACACATCTCCATGGCCATTAAGCAAGCCAAAGGACATGATAGATATTAAAATGTCTATAAATCCTAAGGTCTTTCACCAAAAGAAGTTATTCTTTGGAGCTGCTAACATTTCTACAGAACTACATAGACTGAGGTGAAAGCTGATCTCAAATCTCAATTTATCAAAATCTGTTTCTTTCTTCCCAGGCACCTCCCACCTACGATGCCCTGATACAGATGGAGTATCTCGACATGGTGTTGAATGAGACTCTCAGATTATTCCCAATTGCTGGTAGACTTGAGAGAGCCTGTAAGAAGGATGTGGAAATCAATGGGGTGTTCATTCCCAAAGGGACAGTGGTGATGGTTCCACACTTTATTCTTCACCGAGACCCAAAGTACTGGTCAGAGCCTGAGGAGTTCCGTCCTGAAAGGTACTGGGCCCCGGGAAGGGGAACCCACCCTGATCCAGGCTGGTTGGAGCATATTCTGATGTCTGTTGCTATAGATGATGAACATGTGGTTGTACAGTCATTTATATGTACATTTTTTTTGCTTTTAGAAGTTTATTTTTTCTTATTACAAGAATAATCATTGTTTGTTGACAAAATTTTACAAACTCTAGACTAGATAAAAGAAAAACTGTATCTCTCCGTAGTCCTAATGCCTTAATATAAGCCTCATTAATAATGTGATGTATTGCATTGTTGACATTTTTCTAAGCATATGTAGATATTTAAAATTAATATATTTTTTATTTCTAGCTGCTTACTTGATTTAACAGTAGACTATAAGCAATGTCCTATTATATACAACCATCATATATAGGTATACATACATATAAATATTTATGTGTATTTGACTGTATGCATATGCCATAAATTACTTTACCGTTATCTGATTTTAGGAACACAGGCTTTTTAACTTCTTTAAGTTTTTCTGTGTTGTTCTCTTTAGCTCTCTGAATTTACTGCCAATGTCCCCACATTCTGTTTGTTTGTTTTTCCACATTGGCTGTTGTGCCTTAATCATTATTGGGAGAATGCAGTCTGAGTACCTGAGAGGTCCTCACCCTGACGGTTTAAGCAGCCCCTCAAGGACAGAGGTGAACACAGGTCCCCCAGTCTGTCTTTGGCTGCAGTCCTGTGTCAGCTTCCTCCTACTCTCAGTGTTTGGTGACCTGCTCTATAGATGTCAGAGGCACTCCCCCTAGGATGGTCTTTAGCATGTTCTATGGAAATTCAGAGCCAAGGTCTAGCTTTGGGCACAGATCAAACTCTAGAAAGAGCTGATGTTTCCCATTTATTGTATTGGTGAGCAAAATTGGGATGAACTACTGAGGGCACTTGCTGGGATCTAGACTTTCATTAGCCCTACTATAAGAACCCTAACTGGCAGAGATCTTCTCTCATATGCCATAGTGTTCTTAGTTCCAGCCTATTGTCTACACATAGTTCTTGTTGAAAGAAGAAATTAGAGATGACCAAATCCTCTGTTTTCTGGGCCAAGGGACCTCTGTGTTTCCACCAACCTCAGCAGTTCCACTCTCCACC